CTATACAAATAAAATTTGATTTGATTTTGATTGAAATATTTCAACGGTTTGGATATAGAGCAAAATATAAATATGTGAAAAAAATGTTAGATTTCCAAATGTTAGTTTGAAAGAGTTTAACATTTAAAAATGTGAACTTTGTATGAAACTTGATTATGCACCCTTCACCCAAAGATGCTTATTTTTTCCTGTCCAACCTTCAAGCGCTTTGTGTCTTACCATTCTTTAATTTGCTTCTCCCCCAGTCCACCCGCCACCTTTTCACCCCAGCAGATCGCCGTATCCCACGCATTCGCATCGAAACACGACAAGCCTCCACTCTTGCAGGACAAAGGATTATGGTGGCCATTGATGGCTGGCCCAAAGACTCTAGATACCCAAATGTAAGTCCCATCATATTAATTTACCACAACCCACAAAGAGCTGTAATTGACCCCTGTTAATTATTTGTGTTTTAGGGTCATTTCGTCCGCAGTCTGGGAGGCGCCGGGGAGAAGGACACCGAGGAGGAAGTCCTGCTTCTGGAGCATGATGTTCCACATCAGGCCTTCTCTCAGGCCGTTCTCAGTTTCCTTCCTAAAATGCCGTGGAGCATCACACCAGAGGTAACATCTCCTGCAGCTGCACACAGTATTGCACATTTATGAATGCGTGTGCAGCGTTAACATGTATTTGTTGTATAGGACATGGCACAGAGGCAGGACCTGAGGCATTTAACAGTGTGCAGTGTGGATCCTCCAGGATGTACAGATATAGATGATGCTCTGCACTGCAGGGAGCTGGAAAACGGGAAGCTTGAGGTGCATTACTGACGGTACTAAGCTATTTGTGTTATTGGTGCGTGTATTTTAATCGGCTTGCAATGCGTTTTGCTGCAGGTAGGAGTTCACATCGCTGATGTCAGTCACTTTATCAGACCTGGGAATGCTCTGGACAAAGAGGCGGCCAACCGAGGGACCACCGTGTACCTGTGTGGCAAAGTGAGACAATCAAAACTCGTATAGCTCCGTTTTAACCTCAGAAAACTGTGCAAGATGGAGTTCAGTGTGTTTTTTAAAAACGGGGAGAAAGAAGCTGAACATGAACATCTTTAGTCCCATGCAAGATTTACGAATAATGCCTAGGATTACGTTATGACACTATTTCTGGTTGAAAGCTGTGAGCAGTTTTTAATGTTGTTCCCCCACAGAGAATAGACATGGTGCCTGAGCTGCTCAGCTCTAACCTTTGCTCTCTACGGTCCAATGTGGAGAGGTGAGAATGAAACACACACACACGCGTAGAGCAACCTCCAAAGTTGCCTCAACACAACATTGTTGTTGTCATTCACCCATCAATGCCAATAAGACAGCATTTTGTCTCAGTTGGTGAAATCAGATTGAATTCCTCCCCAGTCAAAGTGAAAAGACGGAGGAAAATTCTTTGAAATTATTTCAAATTCTGGTTTCTTGTTTTTCCATCTATGCGCAGGTTTGCTTTTTCATGTATTTGGGAGATGAACCACAAAGCAGAAATTTTGAAGACTCGGTTTACAAAAAGCGTAATTCACTCCAAGGTAAAAATACTGACTAGAAAATGCATAGTTTAAGTATAGTTTTTATGGTTTGTGTGTCTAATTTCAAAGATTAGTGCAATTATTCAGTTATCCTTTTTGCTGCTGGATGTTTCTCAGGCGTCTCTCACTTACGCCGAGGCCCAGTTGAGGATAGATGATGCCAACAAGAACGACGACATCACTAAAAGCTTGAGGAGCCTCAACAAACTCGCAAAGATTCTGAAAAGGAAGAGGATAGAAAATGGGTAAGAAAATGATAATTAGTTAACAGAAAACCAATTTACAGATTGCTGAATGATTTGAGTGCTTCGATAAGATATGGTAGAAATACTATGACTTTAAATGACTGAGTTCAAGTCGATTTCTATCCTCAGGGCCCTGACGCTGTCTTCCTTAGAGGTTCGGTTCCATGTGGACAGCGAAACTCATGACCCAATTGATTTGCAGACTAAGGAACTCATGTAAGTGACTTTCAAAATTCAGCCGAAGCCCTTACAGATGTTCGTTTTCTGTTTCTATCAGTATTCTTATCACTACTACTCGTCTTTCAGGGAGACAAACTCCATGGTGGAGGAGTTCATGTTGCTCGCCAATATTTCAGTTGCTCAGAAGATTTATGATGAATTTCCAGAGAGCGCTCTCCTGAGGAAGCATCCAGCTCCCCCTCCGTCCAACTACGACATCCTGATCAAAGCCGCAAAGTCCAAGGTCGGTTGAATCCACTCATCATTAAATACCCAAATTGATTCGAGCATCAATTCTGCTAATGAGCGGACATAAAATAATCTTTTTGTTTCCATGTTTAATCAGAATGTGAGGATCCACACAGATTCGGCTAAAGCGCTGGCCGATTCCCTGGATGTGGCCAAAGTGGACGGCTTCCAGTATTTTAACACGCTCCTGCGTATTTTAGCCACTCGCTGCATGATGCAAGCCGTTTATTTTTGTTCTGGCATGGACAGCGACTTCCACCATTACGGCCTTGCTTCGCCCATCTACACTCACTTCACCTCCCCGATCAGGAGGTACAAAAATTTCGACACACTTTGCAGAAATACTTTATAACAAGCCCTGTACAGCTGACTTTGATTTATTTGTTTGACCTCTCTGCAGGTACGCTGACATCATTGTGCACCGCCTGCTGGCAGTGGCCATCGGAGCAGACAGCACCTACCCCGACTTGATGGACAAACACAAACAGTCGGCCCTCTGCAACAACCTCAACTACAGACACAAAATGTCTCAGTACGCACAGAGAGCGTCTGTCGCCTTCCACACTCAGGTATTCCACACTGTTGTTTTCTGCAGACATTCGTAACAGAAAACATTCGTCTGGTGTGTGCTGTGGTGGCACAGGGGTTAGCACGCCCCATGTTTGGAGGCTTCAGTCCTCGACGCGGACGTCGCGGGTTCGACTCCCCGTCCCGGTGACCTTTGCCGGATGTCTTCCCCCTTCTCCTCGCCCTCTTTCCTGTCTGCCTACTGTCAAAAATACGAGCCACTAGCGCCGCAAAAACTCTTTGAAGAAAAAAATGTTAAAAAAAAAAAACATTAGTCTTCACTTGATACTTGGAAAGTTGTATTTGAATTTGATCAAAGCATCCTTTCCCTTCCCTCCCAGTTGTTCTTCAAGACCAGAGGAATTCTGAACGAGGAGGGATTCGTTCTGTTCGTGCGGAAGAACGCGATCATCGTTCTGATCCCGAAGTTCGGTCTGGAAGGAACCGTTTTCTTTGACTCCAAAGACAAAGCTTCTCCCAACCTCGTTTTTGACGAAGAGGTCCAGACACTTCAGTTCTTGTTTTGCTTCAGTTTTTTTTTTTTTTCCTCGTCAGAGAATAACTGTTAAAAATGTTTCTTGTGCAATCGTGTAAAGGGTCCCACTCTGAAGGTGGAGCAGCACACTTTCCACATATTTGACCAGGTGAAGGTCACCATCAGCCTGGACGACTCCAACATTCAGCACCAGAAGATCCGCATGGCTCTAACAAAACCTGTGGTAAGGACAAGTTTAAACACTGGTCCAAAGTATTTATCTTCTCTTTGTTTATTTATTATATGTATAACAATTAAATGTCTGTTTTTGTCATTTTCAGAGTATGCATAAAGCACATTTGTAGATTTTAGTAGCATGTTTCCTTTAAAAAAGAAAACTAACAAAACTGCTCAGTGTTTTGTTTGGAATATGAGATCCACTTTAGGAACTATTGGTCCAGCTGAACATGAATTGGAAGTTTGCTGTAAATTAAATGGGTAGTAAATTGCTCTTTATGGATTTTTAATGAGTATATTCAGTCAATAAGTGAAAAATCAAAAGAACAGATCTGTAAAATATCAAACTCAATGAGATGTGGCAAGTCATAAAATGAAGCATGTATATTCAATATAAATCAGGGAGAAAAATCACTGCTTTAATTAGGCAGTGAAATCTTTTTGTCTTCTAATAACAGAACAAATGAAAGAGAAAATTGAGTTTTTCTAACTCAATTTTCTCTTTCATTTCCAATATTGACTTGGAAAATGATAAAATCAAGACTTTTAAAGATGAAGTAGGAACTCTGGAAAACAAATGCAACTCTGATACTTAGGGTTCTACGTTGACGTCTCTAAAGTCGGTCTTTTGTAATAGTTACTAACAACTCAACTTGATTCTTGTGGCTCTTGTGATGTTGACCAAAAAAAACAAACTTTTATTTATTTATTTTTTTTTTAAGATTTCTTTTTAAAACCTGGTTTAAAATAAAATAAATTCTGCAGTGGGAATCCGTCCACTTTGCAATTCGCCACTAAATGGCACCTTCAGCGACAGCTTTGTGCCAACCCTGATAAAACGATGTTTACATTTCACGAAGCGGTTTCTTTTATTTTTCCCTATAGATTCCGGGTGTTAGTGTTCCTGCACCTGAAGCGGAACCACAAGCCAAGAAGCAAAAACTGGACTGCTGAGACGAGCGTTGTAATTCACCCAGAAGATCCCGACTTTATTTTTAGTAGTTATTGAAAGAGATTTGTTCTTGTGTTTACAGTCTAAATACGAGCAAATCTCTTCCCAGCAAATATGTCACTCATTATAGTAAGTTCAATCCAGTGAAGTGGACACTGGAGTATTTTTACTCTTTTTGCTTAAAACATTTGCTGGTGCAAATGAAACAGTGTGTATGATAAATGTCACGTTAGTTTAACCTGAAACAAAAATGAATTGGTGACATTTGCAGTGTGACATTGTTTTTAAGCTCCTCACAGAACTGCTGTTGTGTTCTGCAAATAAACAGAACTCAAATGACATGATGAGCTTCAGACATTTTAATGTAAAAACCCTCACGTCAAAAGGTTTCAAAATAAAAGGGCTCCATTTTTTCCAACTCAGTTAATTTGTGGCATTATTTGTTTTGCACTTGTTGTGTTTATTGCAAAATTACAGTTGTGAACTACAGATCCTGATTTAAACAAGCACTGGTTATACTGATGAGTTTTGAAAAATAGAAAACAAAGTTTTATAAAAATATAAATACAGTAAAAGACTGGCACAGATTATAATTGAAATTCTGCCCGTGGGCATCAATACAGCATTAAAAAAAAAAGATCATTCATGTGCAACAGTAAGACATTTTTTCACAAAATTTCCCCAATTTTATCAAACCACAACATCTTAATTTAAAAACTATTACAAAGAATGAAATTTCAGTGGTTTACAAAATGACTGGAAAAAAAAAACCCTGCAGCTCAACATTCCCTGTGATTATTCATAACAGGCAGAGCATTTTCTTTCAGTCAGGTATTTGTTGCCCTGCAGTTTCATTCACAGCAAAACATTCAGGTAAATCTCAACATTTCTAAACATAGTGTAAGTTTATTTGAATTTTATTGCAAAGTAATCATAGGCCTTCGTTGGAAGAGCGTCCCTCTAAACGTAGAAAATCAGGTGAGGCAGCGAGGAGGATGAAATCCCTAAAAAACACACAAAGAAAACGATTATTAAAAGATGAAGAACAAGCTCAAACAAAGGCGTCCGTGTGAATATTCAGGCAGTTAAGTTGTTGGTTGAAGTTTCAATGAAGCCTTCACTGAGTATTTAAGCACAAAAACTTTTTCACAATACTAAAAAAATAAATAAATAAAATCAAGTTTATTTAAAAATAAAGTTTCCATCTATCTATCTGCCTACCACCCCGAACTGCAGCTTATTTTCTTGGGATTTTACACAATACATCAACACAAAGTAGTGATAATTGTGGAATGGAAATATGTGGAATTCAAAGTCTTTTAAGGGATCTAAAAAGTGTGTCTTGCAGCTATATTCAGCCCACTTTCTCTTGACATCTCAAGATAAAATTATTTGCAACTGTCTTCTGAAGCTACCCAGTCAGTTACGTCCACTTGTGAGTAGTTTGATCTCAAAAAACGTACAGGAAAGATTAGGGGAAAGTTTTCTATAGTCAGGATGCCTTAAAAATAGGTTTAGATGTATCTAAATAGAAAAGGTCTAGCTTGATCAAAGATACAACCAACGATTAACCTCACCTTAACTTTACTGAGTCGGTTGACGGGAAAAGCTTCTTCTACTGGATTGGAACTGATGGACTCTTTGCTCTGGAAGTCCGAGCTGATGCCGTCGATGAGGCTAGCGGTGCCGGCTGAGATGGTGTTATAGCCACTGTCCACCTGCACAACAGTCAACATTTATGAATGTAAGAAGAAGTCAGTGTTACACGAAGTCTCACTGGAATATGAATGAAAATAAGGTTTTGTCAAGTTTCTCTCACTGACCTGCATGCTGGAGTCGTAGCGAAGGCTGCTTCCTTCTGCCAGGAGCGAGAGAAATATCTGAGAGCTTTCTGTCGCCGACGCATTTCCCATGCGAGAGCTAGTCAGGTGTTCTGAAGGGAATCCAGCCTCCTCCTCATCCTCCTCCAGCCTTTTTTTAAGCTCTACATTTGCTCCTTCTTCCATCTTCACAACCTCCATGGTATCCAGGTTAATCCTCTCAGGGGCAGCAGAGTGGCTGTCTGTCGCCGGCGGCGGCGACGTTGGGTCTAGTTCCATGGCTGGGAGAGAAGATGAGGAAGAGGTGGAAGAGTGTTCTTCAGCATCCCGGTCTTCTTGGAGCTTCGGGTTGAGGATTGGCGAGATCAGCGGAGGGGACGCCCAGTTGCGGACTCTGGGTCTAGCCTTGGGCCTGGAAGTGTTTTGGGTCTGGTGTTGGTAGTGGAGTTGGTGAGGGGAGCAGCTACGAATTGGGGAGCATCCTTCCACAAATGGACTCTCATTAGTGAAGGCAACGTCCGCATCCAGCGGACCTCCATGTGGGGTGAAATTGCTGTGTGGTTTCTCACCTGAAAAGATCCAGATCAGGGAGATTAAATCAACCTGGACCCCACAAAAATCTTAAAAGTTCGATTTTTTTGTTGTTTTTTTTAAACAATTTTTCAGCAATAGTGGCTTTTATTTTGACAGTGATCCAAAATGGAGGGGGCAGACGGAAGGGGGAAAGACGTGCAGCAAAGCAAAGCTCCACAGCTGAAAGTACATTGTCTACCTGAGTCTACGGGAGTCCGCACCATGTCAACATAGATAGGAGAAACAGTCGGCGAGGCGTGGCCAGCAGGAGATGACCTATCAGGAAACAGAGGGCTGCTGATGCTGCCGAGGCTACAGTCTCTGAAGCAGCCCTGCTTGATGGGACTCGACGAGAACTGGCCCTGCAGTTCAGACATTTAAAATTAGCATTTGTTTAATTGTGTACGGCTTTTACCCTACAAATGTCTCCTCCTCTTTAAATATCAAAACAACAATTGTCTAAAGGACTCACTACGTACCGTAGAGGGAGTCTGGGCCGACCGGCTGCCGGCCAGAGGTGACAGACAGACAGATGTTAATGCTTCCCCTTCAACACCATCACCTGCGGCTCCAGGTCCACCTCCGTAGGGAGACGGCCCGTCGAGTCGGCCGTTGGCTCTGTCAGGGCTTGGCGGCGTGGAGCTGTCGGAGCTGCTGTAGCTGAACTGGCCGTCGAGGAAGAGCTTTCGCCTCAACGAGGAGGAACTGAGGCTCTCCTGCACGGCGTCACAGGCCTCCTCGTAGCGGTAGTATTCTCCTGAGGTGAACAAACGTCACATGGAAATACGACAAAAGCTATAGGAGATACTAACCACTTAGATTTGAGTCAGTAGAAGCTTACCGAGTAATTTCTCCAAATCAAACGCCAAAGGTAGTGAAAGAGTCGTCTGGCAAGCAACTGTCAATAAATCAAAGTCATGTCAAGCAAAGTAAGCAGAAGTTACTTCAGAAATAAACGTTACAATGTAAAAGTCATTGGGTGTTTGCGGTTTTAGATTATGAAATGCAAAAAACAGAAGCATTTCTGCTTTGTAGAAAACTTGTATCCAACTTTTTTTTATTATTATTATTCTTTTTTTTAATGCCACACTAAAACCTCCCTAAGTGTCACATATTCCCAACTGGCTGCATTATTCCACTTGAGTTAGAAAAATTATTATATTGGAAAAAACAATGGTCAGCATTGTGTATAATGCATTATTTTAAAGATCCACAATTATTTGTACGGAAGTATTGAAGAGGAACAGGAGTACACTAATAAAATCAAATTCCTCCTGGAAAAATAAGAGATTAGCTGCAGTATATTTTAAACATTATAATTAATGTAAACTAACCAGAGATTTTTTCAGACTCCTCTGATATCGCTTCAGAAAAAGGACCTAAAAAACCCCCAAAAAACCCCCAAAAGTTGCATTAAAATAAATAGAAAGACAACTCACAACACACAAATTTTCTATAATGTTATTTACTTTTTTTGTACAGGTGAGTGGCTCTACGGGTTTCTGGTGCTGCCCACGGGGAAGGCACAATGGCTCCTTTGGTGAAAAACTTCACTCGAAAATACAAAATATAGAATTACATTACCAGGGACTCATAAGCTTGAAAGCATATATTATAAGCACAGATACATCATTTACCTGTTCAATAGCATTCTGACATTTTTCCTCAATGTCTGAATCCATCCTGAAATAAAATAGAGACATATAGGACAGATTTACATTTATCTGAATTTTATCCATTTTTTTCCCAGTTCCAGACAACTTATCGGATTTATTGCTTAACAACATGTACCTCGTCTGGCTGAGGTAGAATGATTGCCGCTGAATTTCCTCTGGATCGATATGCACTGGTAGAAGACTGGCCATTTCATCAATAGACCAGTTAAACTTAGGTGGAGTCTGGAAAAGAGACAGATAAAAAAGGCCATGTACTATACACTACTCAGCAAAGAAAAATGTGTGAATACACACTATTTGGCAGTGTTCTTATCTCTTGAACATTTTCACCACAAACTGCAAAATGTTTTATTAAGAGTTCATGTGACAGATCAATGTAAAACAGAGCATAACTATGAATAGAAAAGAATGCATGGCTTTAATTAAATGTTTGTTGTTTTTTTTTACAAATCTAAAAATAAATAAATAAATAGTCCCCAGATTAGTACATAGGTTCCATCTGGAGCTGCACACTATACTGCATCTCATGCACTGCTTTGCAATGATTGGCTGGATACTTTGTTTTCCAGGTTACATTTGTGTGAATGTGAATGACACAAATGTCATGCACTGGAAAGAGACCAGTGCATGACACTTTTTGGGAATAATATACATGTGTATATTATTGTGATGTAATCCAAATCTAGACCTTATCCAATCTTTGGAAACTGTGCCAAGACCTTAAAATGGCTTTTTACAGGTCCTCTACACCCAGTCACACTGATCGTAAGCTTGTGGACATGCAAAGATGGTAGGGACGTTCTCCAAAAAGACCTGAAGTTGTACCTGCAGTGAAAGGTACAGCTGCATTTTTCGAAGTTTTTTAAAATGGAGAAACACAAATATTATTTTTGCACCACTTTAGTGTTGTGGCGATGTATCACAAAGACTCCTAATACATCACACGGATGTTTTGTCCTTATAGCATGACAAAATGTCACAAAGTTACAAATCTATGAATAATTTGGCAAACGATTACAGCAACAATGGTGCTTCTGATTTCAAATATTAAAAAAAACATGTATCCTGTCCAGTAGGTTTAACATCAGTAATAGGATCAATTTAAATCTTACAGCCTTGCAGGGCTTGGATCTGAAGACAGACGGACTGGGCACCAGAGGCTCCCTGAGGTGGTGGTAGTCATTGGGACTCTCAAAGGGATTTCTAATGGAAGGCCTGCCTGGAGTCTCTGGGGTGATCTGTACCTCGATATGATCCCCCATTACACCTGGAAACAGCAAACATTTTTTGTTAGCAGAAAAGAAAACTAACGCTTCACACACTATGCGTTTCAAAGAGAGAAAGTGCAGTAAATCCAGTTCTTAATTTGTTATGAGGTTAGCTCGGTACCTTGGCTACGTTATAAGGCACTTTGAGTACATACGTTTAAAGGCATCACTTACAAAACCCAGATATACAAAACATTTTATTTTTCCTTTTCAGTTGGTACTTACAATCGTTAAAAAGAACCGTCCTCGACGAGTAAATCGACTGTTTTTATGAGAAGACTCGGTAGCACAACTCTTGTAAGGAAACAGTTCAAACGTTTATTTCAATTTCCTCCACAAAACCTACCAGCCAATAGAAATCGTACAGGATGTTTTCAGCAGCCAATGAAGAATTTAGTGTCGTCACTTCCTCCTCCTGGTTTCGATGCGGGAATCTTTGCAAGCTAGCTAGCTGTCCAGCTGCTAACGCGCCCCATCAGTTATTTTGGTAGTTTTCATTGTACACTGTAAATTAAAAACTGATTAGAGCAAACAAACTCTGACCGGATTGTTGAAATAACCTTGTTTTATACACTGTTAATAATTTGCCGTGCAGGACGTTGTGCGTTGGTTAGCTACCTGCTAGCAGCTTTTTCAGTAACTATGGCAAATGCAGCAAATACAAACCTGAACGCAGTCCGGGAAACGATGGATGGTACGTATACAACCTTAACAGGCCGTGCGGCTAATTGGTTCAACAGAATATATTGGGTCACATAGAAAGGAGATGGGGAGTATACATTATATTTCTCTTAGTGTGAAAATGCTTCCCCTTTTTTTCAAAATTAGAGTGTTATATTGAGTATAAAGTTAGTTTTTTTTAATGTTGTGAGATGTGTTGCCACGCATCAGTTTTAAGTAGGTGTAGCAACAAAACCTGTTTTTTTTGTTTTTTCCATGAGCTGTAATGCAGTTGGTTTCATACACATAAGCATGTTCAAGCATATAAAGTAAATAGTTGAAGATTTGTAAAACTTATTAGAAGTACAAAGAAACTACCTAAAAACTACATAAAACATATTCATGTCTGAGTCTATAAACCAAGGCTTGCTTAGTTTAAAAATTATGTTTCAGCTTTCATCTTTTGATAACAATAATATCATAATATCTACTTCATGAAGTGTATATCCTTAAACTGTTTATCGCCAAAATATTGATTTATTCTCAACATATTAACATTGCTCTTGACACTTTTTCCTTTACTGTCAACATCAATCCTAATTCTCAAAAACTACGACAGAAAAACAAAACATTCACCAATATAATGTTTTGTTTTGGGGTTTTTTAGTTACCTTTTAATATTTTACCTTTTAATATCAAATTTATCTCACTGCCTTCTTTCTCCAACAGTACTGCTCGAAATCTCCAGGTTGCTGAACACCGGTTTGGACATGGAGTCTCTGTCGATCTGTGTGCGACTATGTGAGCAAGGCATTAACCCAGAGGCTCTGTCCGCAGTCATCAAAGAGCTGCGTAAGGCTTCGGAGACCCTCAAGGTGTAAAATCAGTTGTTTTTTTTTTAAAGAATAATTTCAAGGAAAATTTGTGAATTACTAACATTTAAGTGAAAGTCTGGCATTCCCTTTTTGTTTTCCTTTACCCCAGCGTTTCTTTCCTATTATTTTCATTTATGTAACCTTGCATGCCTCTAAATAATCTGAATCCCATCCTTTTAACCTTTTGAAGTGGTTACAAAGTATTCACTCATTTTATAAAGACTAGTGACAGCCGAAGCTTCTCTCCTTCTGTTTGAAGCAGCCTGTTGTGGAGATTCCTGCCTATAACACACCAACATGTAGATTAACGTCAGAAGAATCCAGAATGCTGTTGATTCTTGGGCATCATGGTGCCTCTTTAGGGTTGCAGCTGCCTTATTTCAAGCATTCAATTGTGCAATTTGTTTCTTATTTCCTCTTAGGTTTCTGAGAACTGCACAAACTGAGGATGAAAATAAAGATCTCATCACCCAACGTTGGAATTCTGGACTGTTCCTGAATCTGAGGTTTATTTGTTTTGGCACATTGTCATTTCCTCCGATTCTGCACTTTGATGTTTAGAGGGTTTTTTTTGTTTCTTTGTTTTTTGTATAAAGAGGCACCAGCCTCAGTCTGCTGTGTTACTGGGCCTCTGCTGACATGAGATCATCCATCTCTCAAACAATCTGTGGTGTATCATAGTAGGTAGGAACAGCCATCAAGAAAAAAAAAAAATTACCATCAACTTAATTTTTTCACATGTATGTGAATATTCATGTATTGTTAGATGTTATATATTTCTTTCACTGAAACAATATTCTTTCAACATTTTCAATACTTCTTGTGATGAATAAAATATATATAAGAAAAATGTCACATTTGTGACCACAAGGTGGAGATGTATGCTTCTTTTTTGCCCCATCAAGGTTTTGATGTGGCTTAACAAAATTTTTGGCTACAATTTCAGTTTTTCTAAATCACGGGTGCTGAACTTAGGCTAAATATAATTTAAAATCTGATTTTAACTCCTTCTTCCAAGACTTCTTGTTTCAGTTGAACCATTTGAAGCAAGAAGTTTGAGTAAGTAGGTGGGTTTTTGGTTCTTGGTGTATTAAATATTTTTTTTACAAAGGAAATGATCTTTCCTGTCAGACTCGGTGGAAGGGTACAACTGACTGATAATGTTGCACAATGCCGTTTACAAACAATAGAGGGGTGATCATATATAGGGAGGTCGTTTCTCAAAAGAAGGATATCCTGTTGATCTGAAATCTCTGCTCTAAACCGTATCCACAGAAATCATTCGAATTGGACTGCAAGCGTTGACAAAAGCACATCTTTGATCCCCTCCCAGAATGAAATCTCTGGGATCACGCATCTAACCAGACAGCATTGTTTTGTTTGCCCGCGGTGTGTAAAATAACTCTATTCATCTTCTAGACAAGGGAAAATGCTGAGAGCACAGAACATTTACAGGGCAATATATGTGCTCCCCTATCAGCCCTGACTTGTGTCTGGCACGAGGGTGTGTGTGCGTGTGGGTGGGTGTGTGCATGTGCCCCACTCACTGTGAGAGCTTAAGCTAAGAAGTGGGTCCATCTGACAGCTATGCCTCACCCCTCTCAGGCACACTGCACAGAAAGCCAGCAAGTGCACAGGAGTGTTTGTGTAAGCACTTCTGTCTTCTTCTGCGTTGTCTCACCGTGTTGACTGGCAGATTGCGAGTCTAAATCTCTCCACTTGCTGCTTTGATCTTTCAACACAGGAAGTGTCTGTTCCTGAACACCAGCATCATGTTATACAGGGGTGAGAGGCATGAGATCTGGTGCAGCAGTGGCTCTCCTCGATAGTTCGCAATCCAAAGGAGACACTTCGTCTCTGAGTGAGTGTGTGTGGGGGTAGGAGGGTTTGAGCTTCATAAGATTTTGATAAAGGTGGAATCTTTCTACTTTTTTTAAAAAGAAAATATGAGTTGTGCAGGGCTTGATTGGGCTACTAAAGGGCGTGGGATTCAAGATGCATTGCTGTCTTTTTGATCTGTGCAGAGGGTTTTTTTTTTTTTTTTTTGCTTTATCCAAGTTAGCGCCTACTTTGATCTCTGTTAACCAAAAATATTCCCAAATCCCATAGTCCTAGCAGAGATTAGCGTCCGCATATGCATAAACATCTAAGAGGTGTTCAACTAGGGCACCGGTCAGGTCACATGACTGCTACCAGCCCGGCAGGCGAGCAGCTCCTCGCGTCCAAACTTCTGAAGGTGTTTATATTCGTACGTCTGATAATTATCCGGTGCCGAGGATTATTTTTCTGATAAATGAGGGCAGTCTCGTTTTGGAGTGAGAGACGTGCGGAGCAATTACAGTCCAGGTGTATGTTGTTATTATCAAAAAAACAACAACAAAAAAAACAATTAGACTGGACTGATTAACGGTCTCTCATGCATGAGAAATAGTGGTTTGTTTATGTTTTTCCAAAGCCAAGCGATAATCACAAAAAAAACCCCTAAAAAAACAGTTCATTTGCTCCGTTTTGACGCAAAGTCGAACAAAAGTTCAAAGATCTTCCGCGTGGGGTTTTTGTTTATGGGTCAATCATTACTTTTAATGATGAACCAGCGTGTTTATTGGTCATCCTCACGAGACAGGTCTTTGTCTGAGGCTTTATTGGTCCTTCATGACCATTTTCTTTCATGTCAGATGACACGGACATGCAAATGAGACGTTTTGTTTGTCGTTGAAGCCACGTCTGTACAAGAGCGGGCGATATCAGAATGAGATGTTGCTGCACACCAGAGGAGGCTGATGCAAACACTTGTACGTCAGTTGAAAACTAACATCTGAACAAAGAGAAAAGATCGTCTAAACCATCCATCCCTCCACAGGCTTTAGCAAGGCTTAGTAGAGATAATAGCCTGGGGGTCAAGTTTCATGGGATGCTCCAAAATTTGTGTATGGTTTTTTGTTTTGAAAGCCATTTTGAAATGGCTTTCAAAACATCCAAATTGTGTGAACCAGGTCATACAAGTTGTTGTTTTTCCACAGAAAATAAAAAATACCAAAAGATTTTCTGGTTTTCCAGCAGCAAGCTCTTACCTAAGAGCTCAGTGTTTCCTTTGCTTCTTGTGGTTGTTCGGGGACTTGTTACGCGCCACACTGGCACGTCTGGCATAGTTTCTGTGACATCCTTTGGTAGGTATTGGCTGGGGATTTATAAGCATTGAAATATGTATGAAGATGCAGGTAATGAACTTTTTTGGAAAACAAGTGCAAATACTTGGAGATACGCTGCACAAGCCCTAGAAACTTTAGATCTGATGTGTATTTTTAGGTCTTTGCAGCTTCGTCATGTCACAAAGGTCAACGTGATATTCACCTCCTATCAACAAGATTGTATTTATCTGATTTTGCATGGGATGGTCTGAACAAAATTTGATTTTTATTTTTGGAAATTACTATCTTTTCTTATGCAATGTAAAAAGTAAAAAGACAACAACAAAAAAAAAACTTTAGAAAAAGCAGGTTTTGCCTTTTAATCATAGAATAAATCAGAGAGGATGACATTAGGTATAGAAGTCGAGGCCAGTAATGTCCAAAGTCCTCTGGGGTCATCTTTGACCCTCGGAATGATTTTGTGTGACCTTTGAAGAATGCCTTTGAAGAACAGCTGAAGTTTTGTTTCAGCCCACATAGTTGATCCTGATATAGTTTCAAAGAAGCAGTCAGTCAGAGGCAATGCAAAACAAAGACCTTATTAAAATAGAAAAAAAAAGCGGTACATCATTATCAAGCAAAAGTCTTTCAATGAGGAGGCAATGTTGTTGTTTCTGAGAATTAACAGAAGACATCAAAACAAAGATCACCCAGGATGGCTGTATGAACTCCCAAATAGGGAAATGTATTGAACTGATACTAGGACCAAGATTAGGCCCGGTTCTAGAAATCGTCTCCAGAAACCTTTTCAGTGACTCAGAAAGGCTCTACAGTTGTGAAAGGAAGAGGATCCCTGTAATAAAATGAAGGTAAAGAAAAAATGGCTTTCCAAACATTTGATCACATATCAATGGATTTTGCATCAAGTCTCCATATTAAAATATGTAATAACACCAACAACAACAGATAATGGGATAATGGGATAATGGGATGAGTATACCGGTGCAGAAACATTTGCACTGACAGTTGCTTGAGGAAGAAATCAGTGCTGGGCACACTAAATGTGTGTTGTTGTTTTTTTACATGTAGATTTGTACTTTTACTTTGTAATGTTTGAAATAAAATCTACAGTGAGCAGATAACGCAGACAGACACTCACTGATGTTTTTGCTGAAACTGGCAGCCAGGTCGTTACATTTTCTGAAACGTAGCAAACCTTAGGTTGAAATTGAACAATAAAGTGCTTTACATTCAGTGGTTTAAGCGGCATTAGCTGGAGAATAATCTAATTTATTTTTTAGCAGTAATTTTCTAATGTTTATATGCATTTTGCATGTTTTAGGTATTGATCTATGTCTGGTTCACAGTTAAACAGATCTGGGTTTACTTTGATTACTGAGTTTTACCTACACGTGTTATCGGACTGCTAAAGCCTCGTGTTGGAAGGAGGCTGAGCTTCTTAAAGAGACATTGTCCAATCTCAAGGCGCCAAACTGCAAAGTCAAATTTCATTAATACCGCATTCTTCTAACAACTGAAGGTAACATGGTGATTGTTCTCCAAAATGGCACTATGTGCCTGGAAAATACCTAAACAAACAAACATCTTTGTAGAAAGGAAATCAACCAAACCTAATACTGGCAGAGGTATGAATGAATTTGAACTGACCGTAATTCTGACTAAAGCAACAAAATAATCGTACAACTATTCTAGTCTAAGCAAGAAAAGCAGAGAATCCAATAGATCTGTCTACATCCGGAAAGGTCTGTGTTTCCTGCACGGAAGGTGATTGATCTATTGGTTTTCTGCAACCGATCAAGCCTCTCTGACCCTCATCCTTCTGCAGGCATTAAGCTTCAGGGCCTGTCGCTGCCCGGCGAGGAGTTCTGTGACCTTGTTAGTGCCTTCCCCGATACATCACTGTTGATTAAAAAACTGGGCAGACTTCGACACCGTAAGACACTATTTAGGTCCCAATTAAATTCATTGCAAGGAAATTGGATCATAAACTCTTCAAAGGATCGTTAACAATCATTAGACAGGATAATGGGATGGCAATCAAAATATGTTAAAAAGAAACTTTCAAAGTCTTTTAGTGACTTTGTTGTTTTTGGACATTTTCCAAACTGATTAATGTGGGATTGATTGATTTACAGATGTAATTAGCTGCACTCTGCACTGACGCATAATAATCATATATCTTCCTCCTTGTTTCAATGTATTAATTGGTTTCATTAACAAAAGCAGTTAATTGAATAACAATTAACAAAGTTGATGGTAATATTAAAATGGTGCATGCCATCTCCCTTGAGTTTTCTCTATGATAATAATGAAAACACCTTTTTT